AATAATTTGGATTTTTTTAGCGGATTAGGGTTTTTCCCCAAAACGAGTTTTTAATGGCCATTTTTTCATTGATTAGTCTACTATTTATAATAGTCCATGTATAATTATATATTTTATCTATGATAATTCTATGAGTTTTCTTTTATGTGATCCAAATTTAATGGTCAACATAAGTTTATATAGGGAAAGAGCATCTTAATATTCACAAATTGATGGAAAAAAATGAAAATTAATAATGTAGTACCTTCATTTCTTATTGGATTCCTAAAAAAACAATATTTATAATGAATTTTAATAATTTTTTTGGATTTTTTTTAAGCTTTAATCCGATCAATTCAGTCGATTTTCGATCCGGATCTCCGATTCGTCGATCCAAATCAGTTTTTGAAATATCTGATCCGGGTCACCGATCCACTTTTTAAACCATTGCGTTAAACCTTTTCGAACACAAAATTGAACAAAAGGCTGGGTTAGTTAGTCCGAGCTCTTTAGGACAAACTTTTTAATGATTTTTACGGGACAAATCTCGTGGGTTCGAAACCTTTGATCTCCCTCGTCCCAAACCCATATGTTCACAATTACGCGAGGGATTGAGGAAAAAAAAAAGGGAAACGCATTTAACGGGGTCAAAACCCTTTTTAAAATTAATAAAAAGTCAAAAAATCCAAATTAATATTTAGACCATTACCTTTAGATTTTTATTTCACTCGGGTATTTTTTCAAGTTTAATATATTTACTCTAGTTTTCAAGTTCAAGTTTCATAGTCGTTGTTTGTTTTTTATATTTCATGTATCAATCGTAATCCATAACCAATTTGCGGCTAATGGGTGGAACCAACACGTGTTTCAAACTTACAAAAGTTAGTCCTCTGGATATTGAGTGTAACCTCTACTTTATCCGTTTATGAGCGAAATTGAAGTATTTTTTATATGGTAATTTATTTTATTAATTTACAGTTTACAAATTTATATTAGTAATTATTGATTGAGTAATGATCTTATACGACTCTTCCACATCCATGTATAGTACCCCAAATAATCACCATTAAATTTGATACGGATCTCTAGAAAAGTTATAACATAGGTATGGGACTTGACTTTTCTAGAGATCTGTATCAAATTTAATGGTGATCCTTTTGAGTCCTACACACAGGGGTGTGAGAGGGTCTAATAGGATCATTACTCTTAATGATTACTATGTAAATTGTAAATTTATAACATTAACTATTTAACTTGATTTTATTGTATGTGTTTACCATTTTTCATATGGACTCATACAAAAAAATTAAATGAGTTTGAATCAAATATGCTCAATGACCTAATTTATGTGAAGTTCAATCGATACTTGAATGAGAGATTTGTTAAGAGAGACCCCTCATAACAAAAAGCATAGATAATGCTTTTGAATGGTTGGTTGATGACGATGAGGCCGAGAAGCACAAGGGATTGACATGGAATATGGTCATGGAGGCCTCAGGGACTACAAAAGACTATCCTAGGGCCACTAGATATTCTTCACAGAGGACGAGGGTGGCGGAGGAGGAGGATGAAGCAAAGGCATATTCAAAAGAAACAAAACGATGACGACCATTATGTTGAGGAGGAAGATAATTCCGATGATAATGGACTCGACTACGGTGCACATCATACAGCTGACCTTACTTTTTTTGATGATACAAAAGAATCTTTGAATCTTCAAGTTTATATTTCTTTTCTTTTAGTTTTTTTCCTCTTATGTGTATAGATGTACTATGGATATGGAATATGGACTATTGGAGTGTACGTGGACTATGAAGTATAAACATTTGACTGTGTTATTTTTTTTTTCTTGATGATGAATTGACGACTCAATTCAAAAATTTTGAATGTTGAATCATATTTTTCTAATTTTATTATATGTATGATATGCATGGAGTATGAATTATGGTGTGGAGTATGAACTAATTGTATGAAATACATAGATAAAAGAGTAATGGACTATGGATAGATTATATGTTTTTGTATTTTGAATGTGTTCAATAAAAGAGTAATGGACTATGGATAGATTATATGTTTTTGTATTTTGAATGTATTCAATGGTGGACCCCAAATATTTGGAAAAAAGCTATGACGATGGTGATTCTTAATGTTTGATATGCCTCAATTTGCATTGTTTAGTTGTTAGTTTTTTACATAGAAAAACAGTTACTTCTTATTCTACCCGGGCTTCCACTGAACTTGCTTTCCAGAGCTCAGAAGCCCAGTTAGGGTTCTTCATTTGCAGAGACAGAGAGAAGGAGAGAGAAAGACTCCCTCCCTCTCTCAAGCGCGGGACTTTCATATCGCAGAGAACGAGTCTCTCTCTAGCGCGGGATTCATATTTTAGCGGGAGGTTTCATTTTAGTTGAGCGGGAACAAGCAAAGGAAGCCTCTTCTTTCTGGTTCTTGTCACCATGAATTCATCCCTGAACTCATCTCAGGTAAATGCTATTTTCCTATGCATTGTTCTGGTTTTTTATTTCACTACTTACTCATTCACTCTCTCTCTTCATCAATGCCAAAGTAAATAAAATAACAATTTGTTTGCTCCGGGGAAGTTATTCTCATGGTTCTGAAACTCCTAATAGTATTTCAGACTCTCTTTCTCTCTCTACGTTTTTTGCGGAGCGTTCATACTGAAATATGACTGTGTTTCATGAAATTCGAGTATTTTTTTGTTTATATAATTATTTAGTTATGTAAAGGAGTAATCTACGAGCAATGGAGAAATGATCAAGAAACCTTCCAATGAATCCGCTCTTCTTGTTATTTCAATTTATGAAAGAGGATTGCTTCTTTTGTTTCGATTCATTTTGTTAATTATTTTCTCGAGGAGTGACAGAAACATATTTGCAGTGATCAAAGCAGGGGTCCTAAGTTTACAATAGCTAAATTATTAGCTTTGATATGTTTTTTTTTTTTTTCTTGCTTTGTAGAACTATAATTTTTTGGAAGCTATTGGGTTTGTCCCACCATTTTTTAGCAGTTCAGAACTCCACTAAGATGATAGTTTTCACTTATTTACGTAATGAAAAATCCCTCCAGCAAAGATTATTTAAGGAAATCAGTAAGACATTGGTTTCTCTGGGGACATCTGATAAAATTGGGAAAGAAAGTTACTTTGTCAAATTTACAAGTGAATTAATGTGCTTATTCATCCATGCAGTCTTTCGATCCCCCCTTGATGTTCTAGTGGTCTTCTTAAGCACTTGGTGTAATGAGGATATTTTGTGGTTTTTTTGTTTAGGTTTTGGGGGGGGGAAGAGAGGGGTTGGAGGGGGATGGGGGGGAGAGAGGGAATTGATGAAACTGAAGACAATTAGCAATTAAAAAAAAAAAAAATATTTTAAAAAATTAACATTAAAAAAACCCTTTTTCTTTAATTTGTCATCTTTTGAAGGATATACCTGTTCTCTCTTTACTTCCTAGTACTGTATGTTTTCATTATCTGGACTGAAAATGTTGCTTCAGCTTGACATCATAGATCTTTTATTTCTAGTGAGCGTTATTTGGGCATGCTTTTCTTTTTCTTTTTCTTTTAACATTTTTGCAGCTGTTATATATGTAGTGATTCCAGAAAACAAAAGGCAAGATAACACTGGACTGTCTATAATTATCTATAATTATTTGTTGTAAGATTGTCATTATTAATGGCATCAATTGCTAGCATAAGTCACTATGCTTTCATAAAGACTGTTGATGTCATGGTCAGTGCATGAATTGTTAAATAATTCATTACGTGTTTGTATTCTTTTACGATCTCTCTTTATCTCTTATATATGGATGGAAATTGATTAGTTTACTCATTAATGTATGGATGTTAATTGGACACTAACACATGGATTTACTTTTGTTTTTTACAGTTACAGCCACCTTTGGATAATTGTGAGAAAGATAACAGTATTTTGTTGCGCCTTCCATCTACTGCCAAAAGTGATCCGTTGTTTGCAAAAAAGCAGGTGTGTTACCATAATATCTGAAAGTCTACTGATAACTAAATACCTGTTTCTACTTGTTATTCATTGCACATGGTGTAAGCATTTTCAGTCTTGTGGGTTTAATGTTATGTCATATGTGTTATCATTGGCAAAATAGCAGCTGTGTTTCCATAATATCTGAAAGTCTACTAATAACTACATATCTGTTTCTACTTGTTATTAATTGCACATGGTGTAAGCATTTTCAGTCTTGTGGGTGTTATCATGGGCATTCATGTCTTGTCTTATGTATAAATAATTGAATGTAGCTATTCCTGCCATTTTCATTATCTACTTGCAATTAAAAGTGCCTGAAGTCCAATATGCAACGGCATTCATATACTAGTTTTCTTTAATAGTACTAAAGAATGTACAAACTTCTAAGTGGCAGTTCCCCTTGGATAGAACATGTTACTTTCAAGGAGTATTCCTCTTCAGTTTCATATCCCATTGTTGGCTTTCTCACCTCCCGGGAAAGAGCTCAATGTTTTGGATGAAATGATTCGAGCAGCAAGGATCCTATCACTGAATGAGGTGCAATTATTTACCTTAAGACTGATGTTCATAGAACATGCTGTTGTACTCGTATTTATTCTTCGCCTTTTGGTAGTAATAAAATTTTTAACAGCTCTCTTGGATTTTTTTATGTTTGTTTGTAGACCGAGCTGTACTTTGTTGAGGATGATGACTTAGGCCCATTCAGCCCTATGAATGAGCTCGAATCTCTCAATTTGGTATATTCAGTAATAAATGACTTGCTTCACAGTGTTACCGGTAATGAAAAGGAAGTACTAGTTGCCTTAAGGAATGCAATTGTCGACAATATCGCGTCTTATGGAACTGAGGCCACAAACGGAGGCAAAATCAAGCAATGTGCTCCTAAACCGGAGATGCAGCTTCTAGAGTGGGGAAGAAGCCTGGGGGTGAAAACAAAGTTGCAGATAGCTGGTATGCCTTCTCACATATGGTAACGTCTATTGATGCTTTTGTTGTTGTAGAAGGTTAAGAACTAAGAGAATTTGGACATGCCTGTGCCAATAAATCAGTTTTTGATGTAACCAAGATTCGTTTAACAATTTTAATTTCATCTAAAGTTGGCATGATAAGCTCATGAAAGAACTGGAACAATAAACATTTACATGAAAGAGACTTCATAACCTTCAATATGTGAAGTAGCATGACATCGTCGTCCAAGATGTAATGTATTGGACGTCACTGTCCATGTGCAAACAAAGTCCATATTGATAGTCAATTTTGGTGCATATGTTTATGTTTGAGAGATTGAGTTTTCATGCACTCTAAAAAAGCGAAAAACTGAAGCAGCAGAATAGACCTAAATTACTGGTTGAATAATATGGCTGCGAGGGCCAGGCAACCTTATGAACAAACACGATCTGCAATCTGGTTTGGTATTTCATGTTCCAAGACTCGAGAAAGTGGTACAGGTATAGCAAAAATTAATGATTATCAATGAGAATTGATGACATATAGAATGACTGGAAATGAACCATCTCTGAGGCTATGCAAGATTCCGAGATCTAAAGACAGACAAACATATGTAAGAAAAGTTATACATTACCACAAACAAGGTTTTTTAGAAGTGTGGTTGCATTATACTATGATACAACTGTTGCATTAGATCATTGCCCTTTCTAATCTATAAGGGATTTCCTTTCCATGAAAGTAGGACCTGTAATAAAAGGCCTCCTCATAGTTCCCAAGGCACTGCATGTTGGACTCCCTAAAATCATCTAAACACAAGGACACAGATTTATCATGTAAGAATATTAGATGGTGCAATTTATATGCCCAATAATGGAAGATGCTCAATAGAAATCACAACTTAAACATGATATAGCTTAAACATCAGAAATTTGAGTTTGTATTCTGTGTCTACCTAGGCTTGTATTTTAGAAAAGGAATGAATTATTACATTCACTTCCAAAAGTGCTCCCCTAGATTCATCTTTATCATCATCATCATCCAAGCCTTATCCCAATGCTTTGGGGTCGGCTACATGAATCATGTTCCTCCATTCTTCTCTATCAAGGGCTATACTCATATAAAATAGGTTCAGTATTCATGATAAGATGTGACAAAGTTTTACATTGGCTGCCTACTTAACGCACCCCACCTCCTTTACCCGAGCCCGGGACTAGTTAAGGGAAGTTTAAGGTCCTCACCCTTATTAGACCAATCAATAAAAACTTCAATTTGGAGTTTACCATGAAACACAAGACGTAGACCTTGATACCGAGGTCACATGGAAGCCCACTAGATTGTGTTATTTTATTATTTTAAACAGTTGTGCACAATGTAAACAAAGCTTATGGTACCTGTATTTTGTAAATCCTACTCATCGCTGAATTCAGTGAACTGCCCCTTAATGCAAGTATTGAATTTTATGGAAATCTTATTGAATTTTATAGTATACTTATTATGGAATCTTTTAAGGAATTTAGCCACCAAATTTGAATGGATATTGTTAATTCACTATGTAGAATTTGAAGATATGGGAAGAGGTGCAATAGCTGTTGAAAACATGGATATTGGGGATGCTGCCTTGGAAATCCCCGTCTCTATCATAATATGCGAGGACATTGTTTATGATTCTGACATGGTATGTTTCAGCCTTTTATTTAGCAACAAATTAGATTTTCTTTTCTCCTTTTCGTGCTTTATTCCATTCTCTTCATGTTCAAATTACTTCCCATTTGTCTGTGATGTTACTGTCAGCATGTAATCTTTGCTCGGATGCAGACTAAATTGCTACAAGCTATTAGGTTTTTGAAAAAGGATGAAAATAAACCTACAAATTTTTGGTACTCTTTTGAACCTTCTCTAGGAGACTTTCTGTGATTTAGTTGTTTATATTGTGAAACTACTTGTTCCCTTCCCTGCAGTTTATGGTGCTGAAAGAAATAGATGGGGTAACTTCTGAGACAATGCTCTTGCTGTGGAGCATGAGAGAGAAGCATGATGCCAGCTCAAGGTTCAAGCTTTACTTTGAATCATTGCCAAAAACATTTAATACTGGTATTTTATTCTTTACTAGAAGTTTCTCTCTTTCTTGGCTGTACCTATTGAATTTTCCTCATTGCAAAAATTTGTCCAAAAATCCAATACTTCATAGTGGATTGTTTACTGATTCGTTTCCTAGGGGAAGGCACCGACATAAAATAAGAACTTTCCTTGATCAATGTGCCAACTGCTGATAAACTAAGAATAATACCTTTTTTTTTTTTTCATTGGTAGCATGATGCCAATTTATTGGGAAGAAGAAAAAAGATGATCTAGACCTGACACCTCAAGTTTTTTCCTTTTGTTGACCTTTTGCCTTTGTCCCATATTTTATGTGCTCAATTAGTGGGGTTCGATTTTCTTTGGTCCTCCAGCACGTGTTATTAATTTTGAAATTGTTTGGGGATTTATAATATATATAAAATGTTGAAACTATCAAACTCCAGATGCTATTTACGAATCTTTTTTTTACTTTTATCTGTATGCCTAGGGCTCAGTTTTGGGGTGGATGCCCTTAGTGCATTGCAGGGAACTCTGCTGTTTGAAGAGATTTTGCAAGCGAAAGAGGTTGTCATTTGAGCTCTACACTTGAACATTTGACCTCTAAGGAAGACGTAACCCCTGCATCGTGATGGTAATTGTACTCTTTCATTTCAGCATATACGCGAGCAATATGATGCATTATGTCCAGCTTTATGCAGTAGTCATCCCAATATATTCCAACCGGAGTTTTATACTTGGGACCAATTTCTTTGGGCTTGTGAGCTATGGTATTCCAACAGCATGAAAGTTATTTTCCCTGATGGCAAGTTGAGGACATGTTTGATTCCCGTCGCTGGTTTCCTCAATCACTCGGTACATGTTCTTTATTTAGTACCCTTTTGCTTTCTTTTCCAAATTTGAATTTAGGGAAAGTATACTATAATCTAATGGACCATGGAAAAATCCAATTGGGTCATCACGGTTCAATGAATTGGAGAGAGAAAGATACTATTATCTGCCGGTGTATGAGAGAGATACTATTATCTGTCTGTGTATGAGAGAGAGAGAGAGATGCTACTGTGCACCTGTGTGTGTGTGAGAGAGAGAGAGATGCTACTGTGCACCCATGTTTGTGTGAGAGAGAGAAAGAGAGAGAGAGAGAGAGAGAAGAGAGAGAGAGAGAGGAGAAGAGAGAGAGAGAGAGAGAAGAGAGAGAGAGAGAGAGAGAGAGAGAGAGAGAGAGAGAGAGAGAGAGAGAGAGAG